TATCTTATTTCAGAAAAGTCACTCCTGAATGGAGTTGTACAGCTGCAGCTCACGTGATGAATGTTGGGGTTGGGAGAGGGGGTGTGTCTGAACTAAATCAGCACCCTGATAAAGAGTTTGACTGGCACGAAGTATTTTATGTATTTTGAAAATACAAAAATACTAATCTTAAATGTATTTAAATACAAATTACATTTGATTTTTGCCAAAGGCTTTCAAATACAAAATACAAAATAGTATTTTGTATTTCAAATACGTATTTTAAATACACGTATCTGAAATACTGCCCATCCCTGATCATAGTAAGGTAGCTGTCTTATCAGTTGCTTGTGGTGATATAATGATCCTGCTGTGCCAGCCACAGGTCGCCTTTCTTCAGGGAGAAGCTCCATATACTGCATCGCCTGACAGACAGACAGACCTCATTATCACAATGTTTGATCAATCTGGCACTCCAGTCAAGTCACGTTTATTTATACCACTTTACACAATATATTGCTTTAAAGCCACAAATATCATAAGTATCTTCTGTTTATTTTTAACTATGTGAATGTCTCAGTAGGATTAATTATTTGTTCAGAACATTTCACTTTGGATTTTTTTGTAGTTGCAATTCGATGCAGGCTTTTAATGAAAAGATATTGACCCGACAGCAATGTTGCCACAGTAAGCATGTTAATTTTAATGTCTAATCTGTGATCAGTGATTTTTCTGATATGTGACAAAACGGTCAAATTTACATTGTTTCTCATACGTAGCATGATCTGTTATTGAAATCTGGAATAAATTATGAACAGAAAGCGAGAAAAGAACATTCCCTTTATCATCGCTGGAGCTGATAATCAATTGTGTTCAGCACAAGCACTGTCGCCAAAACTCCTGTTATATACTCTACACTGCACAATTATTCTCTTATTTACTTTGTGTTTGTACTGTTTTAGTTACAAGGGATGGGCAACACTGCTTCTGGAGTGAAGCAATAAAATATACGTTGATGCTTGTTAAGACTTGTTTACTCTTTCTTAGAACAAATCCGCCCATTATCTAAACGCCTTAATTACTTACTTAATTACTAGTGTGTATCTGAGAATCAGTCTTTTTTCCAGACTTTTCATCTGCAACCAATTATTTTTTTAAGAATTGTTCACTGTTGTGTAGAACAAAACCAACAAACATTTAAATCTCTTAATAGAACAATACTGACCAATATTTAACATGACTTGACATCACATAAATGTACCCTGCAGAAAAGGTATAAACAGTTCTGAACAAATATTTTTGGTAAATGGAATTAATTTAATAGATTTGTGAATGAATTGGGCAATTGTTCAGTGGAACTGGTGAATGGATTCAAAAGAATCAAGTCACTGAATGAATCAAAATCCTCATCATCTCACCTTTATTTTACATAAAGATTGTAAATAAAACTACATGAACCAGGACTTCATATGAAACCTCTTTCCTTTTCACTTGTCTTCTTTAATAGCAAAGTTGTTGTTGTTGATTTTCATCAATGTAATGATCATTGCTTTATTTCTCTCAAAAAAAAAAAAATCAGGGCTTAATTACTTTTGCCCAGGGGCTTCAGCCCGGTCAGCCAGTGTCTAGCTGTGCAATAAGCCATGAGAGGCCTGCAATTTACTAAATGGAGCTTTGCTTTATGAAATAAATACATATAAAAAAAATCCCTTGCAATAATTAGTCACATTTCAAATAACTCACTTTAAATTTTCCAGAAAAAAAAAAAAAGCTTCCAATTACAAAACACTACGTGAAGGACAAAAATAAGCAAAAATAAACAAAAACTGGACCAATGTTTCACTCATTCAATTCAAACAGCAGAAATTAAAAATGTTCCTCCAACAACTAGCTAAGAACAAAGCTATCCCAACTTAAGCTAGATTTTCAATGTAAAAACAGGGTTGTACAGAAGGCTGAAGAGAAACCGGAGAGAAAAACAAAAGATGAAAGGGCTTTAGCAGGCACACAGGCGGGATGATTCCTGGCAGTCGATTGTGGACAAAGTATAGGGCTTATATCCAGAGTGCTGTCCTATTGCACGTGTGCAAACCCTCCCTGCTGAAAATAGATGACTGAATAAGAACTTTGTTTTACAAAGGCAGACCTGTGAGCTGCTGTACTCCCTGGAGGTGGTAGAAACAGCCAGCGCATTCTGCTATCAAAATAAACTGTTCAAATCCCCAACCTAGGCCGGCATCCTTCATTCACCCTCCTACTTTGCGATAAAATGATCCCCTCAAATTTATGTGAGATCAGTGAGACAAATTTATTTGCAGCTTTTTCCATTCAGTCAAATGTAAGGTATGTGCCCAACGACATGATTAAGCAAGGCTGTTCCATACCTTTAGCTCATAGAGAGGGCTATTTTTAACTTGAGTTGCATGTGTTTCACCAAACACCAGCCAAATGCCTGTAAGACCTGAAAAACATAGCAGACTGACATTTGACAAGAAACAGTGTTGGGGAGTAACTAGCCACAAGTAGCGACGCTACTAGCGTAACTACATTTTCAGTAGCTTTACAGTAGCGATGCTACTTTTAAGACAGTGTAGCGTTTCCTGTAGCTAACTACTTTTTCCAGCAAGTAGCGATGTACCAAACGCTACATTCCGTTTTGCGTTCTGACGAGTCAGTCACGAGCCTGTAATGCATTGAAGCAGCGCACGCAGCGTCTTCTTTCTGACTAGATCACAAACTAAATTTGTTCATTACCGCCATCTGTAGTGATATCAGGCATCGGACGGCTTTATAGTCTTTCCACCGACAAGAGATCGTCTGATGATATTGCAAAGGATGTACAGGAATGGATATTTCACATGAATCAACTGTAATTCACGGAAAACAAAGATTAAAATGCAGTCTACGTCGAAGACTTAAAGCACATACAGGAGGTGAATAATAGCCTTTTTAAATTGATTATTTTTTCTTCTTTATTGCACTCTCACAGAACCGTGCTTCACTGAAAGATACGCATGACAATCGCAGCTTCTGTCGAATCGCGATTTCGATTCCATTTCGGTTTATCGTGCAGCCCTAGTACATATATATTTTCGATGCAGAGTGCAAATATGGGGGTAGAATCGTTGCATAATTCCAAATAAATACATTATGATCCACAAATATATGTAAAGAGATTAACAAAAATAAAATGTATTGATAAATAAATAGAATGAGATCCACAAATAAATCTTAGAGTTTCACAAACAAGAATTAAATTCACACAAAAATAAAATGAGATTTGCAAATAAAAAAACATATTCACAGATATATTTTGATGTCACAAACATAACTTTGCCTGGCATTCATTTGTGAATCGCATGGTCAGAGGTTTGATGGACTTGGATTCTCTTATTCAGCAGCACAAGGAAGGCCAGCAGGTGGCAACTGTAGTAGAGATTGAAAAACCAGATGGATGTGGACGTCCAAGAATCCATATATCGGAAGACAGACTAATCCATTTTCTGAAGCTTGGATTACCACAGGAAACTATCAGTAAAATTCTAGGTGTCTCTCGTGCAACTCTCCATCGACGAATGAGAGAATGTAATTTGTCAGTCACATCCCTCTACAGTAGCTGCACAGATGAAGAACTTGATTCTTTGGTGTCTGAAATCAAGAGCACTATGCCAAACATAGGGTACAGGGTTGTCAGAGGAGCCCTCATTGCCAAAGGACACAGAGTACAGTGGGACAGAATTCGTGCATCTATGCATCGTATTGATGGTCCCGGCGTTCTCTCACGGATGTCCCAGCTTGGTTGTGTTGTTCGGCGAACTTACTCTGTACCATACCTCAAGTATCTTGTACATATAGATACAAACCATAAGGTAAATTAAATTTTTCTGAATTTTTGTGTGAAATGTTATGTATGTGCAATTATAATTTACAGTTAGTTACCAAAATATGTAACAGTTTTTACACTTACGTTTTGTGGGTTATACAGTTGTCTATGCATTTTAGGTTTAAAGGGAAATCTAATATGATGACAAATGTTTCTGTCATTTTGTTATCCTTTTGTCATGCAACATGCCTTTGCTTTGATATTTTCTCCTAGATACAACATGGTTATCTTTGGGGGTGTGGATGGATATTCAAGAAAGGTACATTTAAACCTGCTTTTAGGTGGAAACCATCTTGGCATGCTTTTGTTCATTTATTTATTTTTATTTTTTTTCAAAGTAGTGTTTGTCAGAATGAGTGCTATTTATTTTTCAGATCATGTATTTACTCATCGCAGACAATAACCGCTCTGAAACAACCCTTCGATTTTTCAAAGAGGCAGTGGAAGAGTTTGGCTTTCCCTTAAGGTAATGTTTTATTATCCACAAATTTAACAAAGACTTATAATTATAAATTATAATTTTTTTTCTTTTATGCTCTACAGTTTTGCCCTTCATCCAATTAGTATTGATTTTATTGTTATGCCAAAAAACAAATAATATATTATTTAAATATATATATTTTAATGATTCCTTGATTTACTTTATTTGATGGTATCATAATGGTGTTATCATAACTTGTATGGTTTAATTTTCTCTTTTATTTTTTGTTAATTTTCATAAAGAGTACGTGGAGATCATGGAGGAGAAAATGTAGGAGTGGCACGGCTGATGTTTTGGGTGCGAGGAACAGAGAAGGCAAGCTTCATTGCTGGCAAGAGTGTGCACAATCAGAGGTAAAAAGACCACAGCCCTACTCGCCATGATTTATTGGGGTGATAGTTAAACTCAGCATCATTTTAATTGAGCATGTCAATTTTTCACCATGTTAGTCAGTCATTACTATGGGCTGTTTCATCAGGGTTGAACGCCTCTGGCGAGATGTTCGAATGTGTGTCACCACAGTCTACTACGACATCTTACATCGTCTTGAGGACTGTGGACTTCTTGATCTTAGCAACTTCACCCACCTCTTCTGCTGTCATTATGTTTTTTTACCTCGCATACAAGCCAGCCTTGATGCTTTCAAGGATGCATGGGATAACCATTCCATGAGGACAGAGAGCAACTTAACCCCAAATCAACTATGGGAGACTAGCCAGTATCAGAATCCAATAAGTAACCGAGGTAATAATTTTTTCTTACTGTGGATTCCTGGTTTTGATCTGTTGATCAGTTTTTTTCCCTATTGTACAGAGGGACACCCTACAATTTTCAGCATCTGTTACTGATTTTCTATGGTAGAGATGTGTTTAAAACTGGTACCCAATCCTGCTCCTGGAGATCTACCTACTGCAAAGTTCCAACCCTAATGAAACGCACCTGAACAAACTCATTCAGGAATATGGTAATTACAGACAGGTTTGTTGGAACTGTGAACCCTACAGCAAGGTAGATCTCCAGGAATAACATTGGGCACCCTTGATTTAAAATTACCAGCATGAAATTTACAAATTACTTTTTGTTTACCTTTAGGTGCAGTATTCAGACTCTGCTGCAGTTGGACAAGAGTGGAGATGCTGAAGGCACTCACTTTGGGGTCAATGTGCCCGAAATTCAGAGGCCGCAACTCGCAAGAGAGCGGTCTACGCGAATGCTGTCTATGCGCGATGTAGACAGCATTCGAAAGAAGTTTATCATGAATATTACATAAAGTAACGTTACATCAAATAAAATAGGACTACAAGAAATATTTTTATGCATCCCAGTCTTGTAAGTCCATTAACTGATCATCTTTTTTCCTTAATATTTGTATTAGGCCTGTTGTTGTTGTTTATTATTATTATTATTATTATTGGTTATATTTTTATATTCATTTTTCCCTTCATTTTGATCTCTTTACTTAACGTTCTGAATGTAAATGATAGCCTACTGTAAATGCTCGACATGCCAATAAAGCCTTTAATACGCTATATGACTGGGATTTTTACTGGAATACAGTTTAAAGGTTGAATTTAACATTTTATCTTAGTTCGTCTAATTAATAGACTAGCCTATATAAATATAGTGGTTCATTGAGTGAATCATTCATGTAGTTTCATTTGTAAATCATTTATCGTCACACACGGGCATAAATACAATCATAAAGTCAACACTTTATTGGCATAATTGTCAAGCGTTTAGTATTTGCAAAATATATGGTAGCAAATACTAGCATATACAGAACGTTAATTAGGTAAAGCGATACAATAAATATAAAAATATAGCCCTAAGTCACTTATAATTTATTATTATTATTATTATTAGGCTATTATTATTTTAATAACTGGTTAAGGCTATATTTTGTTAACACCTGACAATTATGCCAATAAAGTTTTGACATTATGATTGTAGGCCTATTTATGCCCGTGTGTGACGATAACTGAGCGTGTTTTACAAATGAAACGTGAATGATTCATTCCTCAGTGAAACACTATTTATATGGGTTTGTCTGTTAATTAGACGAAATAAAATAAAATGTTAAATTCATCCTTTAAATTGCATTCCAGTAAAAATCCCAGTCATATGGCATATGTCGAGCATTTACATTTTCATAGAACGTTGAGTAAAGTGATCGAATTGAAGAGGAAAAAAAAGAATAAACGAAAATAGTAATAATATTTTGGAATTATGCAACGATTCTACCCCCATAATTATCTGTCCCCCCACAGTTTTGTAATGAACACTAATCGAACAGAAAATAAAATCGTGATAGAGTAGTGTCCTTATCATTTGGCAAAGGATGGTTGCGGGATTCACGCAAAGCGCAGTGTTCACGCGCGCAGCTGATGATTGACGTCTCCATTCACAGTCAGAAAATACCGCATGTGCTGTGAGTTTAACCTGCTTATTTTATGACTTCTCCATATCCAGTTTGTTGCATACATTTTGTTCTTGCATTGATGTTACGTTAGTAGCAATTTTGCACTTTGACAGTCAGTTTAAGATAATATAACTAGGCTATAACTATACAGTAGCCGATTTTATTATTGTGTGTATCGGATAGTTTACAAAATCAAATGATTGGGACACTTTTTGTCATTGAAATGGCTTGGAAAAGTGTCCCAATCAACCTGAATTCACTTTAATCTTTGAAATCACGATTGCATTACAGTATGTTGTTTTAAACCCCAAATATTTTACTTATAACTTCATTATAATTCTTCATTAATAATTATTTAGTTATTTGTAATGTTAATTGTAAAAAAAATAATAAAAAAAATTAAAGTAGTTTCGATGTAGCTAGCTACTTTTTGAAAGTAACTTGTAGTGTAGCTAGCTAGTTTTTCAGAAGGGTACACAGGGTGAAAAAAAAATTTTGGCTCACATTTAACAAAAACCCACCAATTCACTATCTCAACAAATTAGAATACTTCATAAGACCAATAAAA